AATGGGCACAAGTTGATGGAGAGGAGGTATAGATTGGACATCCGCAAAAACTACTTCACAGTTAGGGCGGCTAGGAGCTGGAACCAACTTCCAAGGGAAGTGGTGCTGGCCCCTACCCTGGGGGTCTTTAAGAAGAGGCTGGATGCCTACCTGGCTCGACTCAAATGAGTCCCGTTTTTCTCTTTTGGGGTTTTTTGTTGTTCTCCCGCCCTGGCAGGGGGTCGGGCTAGAAGATCTATGAATCTAAGAAAACCTAGAAGTGAGCATCAGAACCAAGAAAAGCTGTGAGAAGTGCTGGTCAAGAGCTGCCCCTACTAAATCCCTCTCAGCTGAACCCTGCGCATACTATGCAACTGTGTGCATCACACACATTAAACCAAGGTGTCAGAAAAATTCTAACATATTCTAAATTCATAATTCTAGAACTTCTTCACAGTAAGGGTGGCCAAAATTTGGAATGGGCTTCCAAGGGAGGTGGTGCTCTCCCCTGCCCTAGGAGTCTTTAAGAGAAGGCTGAAAGGCATCTGGCTGGGGTTATCTGACCCCAACACTCTTTCCTGCCCAGGAAGAAGGTCAGACTTGATCTGTTGAGGTCCCTTCCAACCCTAGCATCTATATTTATCACATAAAAAGAATGCTTAAGGCTTAAAAAAATTATATGAAGGGTATTTAGGAAAAATGTACAGCCAGGTTAAACATGTACAGAACTAAAAGTACCTGCACTACACTGACTGGTGACAAGAAGGATGGCTGGAATTGTTCCCCCTTTATTACATCTTGTGCCCATATCATTTAGTGTCAGTGGGGCAGAGCCAAAACTGGTTCAGTGAACCTAACTTTCTAGAACAGTGATCAGCACCACTTTGACAGTTCAGGTCTGAAATGGGCCAACACTAGGACCCAGTCACCTCTTCCATCATTTCTCCAGGTCACCCACCTTCCTGGCTGTAGTGCAGCATGGACACAAATCTCCCCATTGCCAAAACCTCAGCTCTGTGGGCCGGATACAGGCTGCTGATACTTTTGCTAGAAGGTTCTGAAAGCTCACCATACAAGCACCATTTGAATCCTACAAAGTGAAGGGTTAGGCTATAAACAGATATTACCAAATGAAAAAGATCAGATGTTGTGGCTGCCCGGCCGTCTCTAGCCACCAGGCGGTGGCTCAGACCTCTCTTTGGATCTTATGCCTCTTCTGGACCCTCAGTAACTTCGAGGTAGTTCTATCCTCCCATGCAGTAGACCCCGCACTCGCCTGCCACGTCTTGATGTTCTGCAATGGGCGGGGTGCCTGGTGGGTTCCTCGATGCCGGGGTCCAGCCCAGCAGATGTTCACGGGGCTCCACCACCCCTACACCCCGGCCTCATGCCACCTTGCTGGTCACCTCGATGACATCCTCCAACGGATCATGCCCTCCCATCTTGCGCACTGACGTGACGTTGGGTGGGCCGAGCCCCCGGCCTGGTCTCCCTCCTAACCCTGCCCTATGGGACACTTACTCCCAGGAACTGCCTCCTAGCTTTCCTATGCCCGTATCCTAAGTGCCCTCACCCTAGACTCCCCCTCCTCGGGGAATTTCACCTGCGACTGCCAAGACTCAGTGCACCTTTACCACACCCCGTGAATCTCCCTTTGCTTGGCCTTGGAGTTCAGGTCAGCTCCGCTAGCCCTCCGGGGCCTCGTCGATGACCCCGTCTCACCCCAACCCCTCGTCTGGGTTGTCACAGGTGTTTGTCCACCGACGTGCCGTCCTTTGCCCCACTGACCCGCCACTCCACCCTCGTCTTGAGGCTTCCACGTAGACACCTCCACTCTTCCCCCTTCACGTCAATACTCACTTCAGTGGTGCCTGGTGAGGGATCTCGATGGGGTGCCTCTCTCTCCCACAGCCCAGGTTCCAGCTCACCAGCCTCCTCCGATTCCTCTTCCGAGGCTCGCTTCTTCAGTGGCGTCAGCTGCAGCATGGCTCGTTCCTCAGGCAGCGTTCGCAGCTGTACTGCTCGCTTCCCCGACGGCGTCCACGGAAGCCCTGCTCACTCCGCCGGCGGTGGATGCATCAACGAGGCTTGCTCCTCCAGTGATGTTAGCTGCAGCGGAGCTTGACCTTCAGGAGTTGCTTGCAGAAGCTCTCTCTCCGGGCTATCCTCCCCCTCTGCTGCGGCAGCCGCCATTTTTAACTTTGCTGGCCGGCGTCCGGTGCTGATGTCACCGGCCGGCCGCAGCTGTACATAGAGGCGGCTCAAGAGCCACGCAGGTTCCTCCTGCTGTTCTCCACATGCGTCGTTCAGGGCTGCCGGTAAGTACCTTGTGTTACCCTGCTTCCCAGGACAGAGGCAACAAGCTGTGTTCCAGCACAGCTGATCCACTTCATTGGGACATATAGACATCACTTGTTTTCCTGAAGAATCAGGTCCCTCCAGCTCCCAGCATTTCAGAGATCCAATCCTGCAGGAAAACTGCAAATAAGGGAACCCCGGGTTCCCCACTTGCAAGTGTAAGCCCTGGAAACTGCCTGGCACCCTGGCAGAGGATTCTCTGGGTGTGCATATTGTGCTGCTGCACCCTTACTTGGAGCAAACCTCTGCAAATGGGAGAAGCTGGGCAAGTACTCCTGGGGCTGTGGAAGCCTAATCCTGCATCCCCTGGGAATAGGAATCCTAGAAGCATTCAGAATTGGGAACCTGAAGTCCCAAGAGCGGGGTGGCTAGAGAGCATAAGCAACTCCAAGCTGCCTGCACTCTCTTGCCATAATACAAATGGAAGTCTACTGCAAAAGAATTATAGTTTTATACTATCTATGTCACAGTCACAAATTTGGAGCATTTGTGGCACAACAAGGGATGCAGATATCCGTTTGCTTGGCCTTTACCACCTTAAAAGTGTTATGGTGACACAAAAGCAACATCTATTTCCAGCCTTAAAAACTAACTGATTCAAAGAAGTATGAGCTTTCATTGGCAAGAACCAACTTTGTTAGATATCATGCAAAGACTAACATGGGAAATCACATCTGTTCCTTTAAAGAGATAATATAATGAGGTCCTTGTAGAAAAAGGTGCCTGTAAATCAAAGGGAACACCTTTGTGGATCTAGCAGTTGTTGAACATTTGCAGTGGTTGTCCTTCGGATCTACAACAGCTAGTCTCTCAGATCAAAATATATATCAATGCCCCTAAGACTTTTCCTGAATGAGAACTGCAACAGTACATGATATTTCCATGATTTATTGATACTTGCATAAACATTCTGAAGAAACCATTATAAAACATTTGACCCTGTAGCATTCTTAGATGTACACAATTCTGGATAAGAGCTAAACTATAGACTAAGTAGCTGTATTTAAAACCAATACCTTAGCATGGAATTTGCAGTAAATTGCTCTTCCATTAGCATTAATCATTTTAAAAGTGTGTGACCCATATCCATTCATATGGCGAAATCCATCTGGAATACCACGATCACTGAACAAGAAAGATACCTACAGAAAAGGCATAATCAATATTAGAAAACTGCCCCAATGTAAGAATTAATGAATGTATAAAGCACTTTCATTCTTTATTAAATCAAACAGCATCAGTAGAAATGGTCTTCATGCTGCAAACCATAATAGGGGCCTGCGTATCAAGACCAGCTTTACTGATTTTGAGCTTGAGTGTTTGAAGATTTCTAACACTCTAAGAACTGCTTTGATAACTGGGTCCTTCAAGGTGTTCCACATGGTGATATATCTGCTTGAAGTAATGAATGAAGAAGTGTTACATTGCAATGACTTTCTAATAGGGATAAGTTAGTTAGTCCTATTTAATTTTAGAGCAGAAGGTAGGGCAGGCTGGGACCTTAATTGGTTCAGAGAGGCAAGAGATTTCATAGGCAACAACCTACTTCATCAGATGCTACTTTATTAATTTTAGAGAAAAGGGAATGGCTTTTCTAGTAATCCATTTACTTTGAGCTTATAAAAATTACAAGTTTTATATCCTGAGCAAACTGCTTTTATTAAAGACAAGAGATACCACCATGTGCATCATTTAATAACTATGGAAAATGCCATTCGTCCTTGAATTAAGTGTGGACATATCTCCCAAAGACATTTTTTTCTTATAGTTATTAAGCAAGTCTTTGCAACATTGGCTATATGGATACATTTTTTAATGTTTACTTTTTATCAGTTTTCCAACTGTACAATTCACACTAACATATTAATATAATGTATTAATGCAAGAATAAATTGAGTTAAAAAAGGACCCACCTGGTGCAGGCTTTCAGGACGAAGGCTCCAGAAGTCCCACATCATGTCTGGATCCCTCAAATGAGTCTGAGGGTTCCTCTTTTGACTATGGATAAAGGATGGAAACTAATTCAAATTAAAAAAAAAAGAGTATGATGAATATAATGGAACTGAAGCTTCTTTTGAAGTATATCAATTCTTCAATTACTTTCAACTGTTTTCTACAATTATTCTGAAAGTCCATTTGCAAATTCTTTAACTGCAAAGAAAACAGATTGCTATTCTATCTGAACATATGTCAGTTTCAGTAAGATGTGGCCTGTGTAATTTTTAAGTACATTTCAAACTGGGAGTTAGTAACCTACAGCCCATGAGCCAGATCAGGCCTGTGGAGCCATTTGATCTAGCCCACAAACAGCTGGGGCTCTGTTTACTCTTACTGTGGTAAGATTGTATTTAATTTGCCCCATGATATTGCAAGAAGGAAACTAACAAAAATAAAAAAACAAAATAAAACAAAACCACAGAGCACCTTAAAAATTAAATTGATAACAATATTTACATGATCTCAACTCTGTACATCTATTTGCATGACAGACTATTATCAGTCTTTAACCCTGACTGAAACAAAGACAGATTAGGTAAGTACCTGAAATAGCAGTTTCAAGTTACTTTAAGATAAATCAAATATAGGCCTCTACTTTATTTGTTGTTACAGTATCAATTTAGCAAACCCACAAGCACTATCAAATCCACCACTTTACCATGTTAACAGAAATGGATGATGAGTGATAAGCAAGGTCTGAATTCCTGTTTTGATACTAAAAGCAAGTTATAACAACTTTTTAAAAGTGAACATTTTAGAAATAATCCTCAAGTTCAAAGACCCAAAACTGATTAAAATGATCACAAGAGGTAAAAACACCGCATATACCAACCTATGTAAAACACCAAAACAGGTTTACTACTTATTCTGATTTTGGTTTCCTGTTTAATGACACACAGTGTCATGGGCGGGGCCTAGGAGCGGCCGTGATCCCGCTGGTGCCCCCTACCGTGTCAGGTACGCAATCCAGCACCCTCTTATCTCACCCGCCACGTCTTTAATGAAATATATTTTTGGTATATGGGAGGCTGCCTTCGACCCCTTATACACGGTACTATGCTTATTGTTCCCTGTTCCTTTCAGAGTAACAAGTTGCACCCCAGCCTTAACGGCTACGCGTGCCTCCTACCTCCCCTTTAGCACGCCCCAAGCCTTGCAGATCTTCCGGACGTTATCATGTCCAATTCCTACCTGCGCCTTGCCTAGTGCCCCTGGGCTCGTCACGCCACCGGCGCCCCTTCTCTGGCACCCCTGGGCTCGTCACGCCACCGGCGCCCCTTCTCTGGCACCCCTGGGCTCGTCACGCCACCAGCGCCCCTCTACTCATTAGCCCTGTCGGGCTTACTAGTGATCCTTTTACCCACTGGGGTCGGCAGCCTAAGCCTTGCCTGGCCCCTCTGGGTTTCTGTCAATAATCAGTATCCAATTAGGCTCGGGCGGCCTAAGCCTTACCTGGCCCCTCTGACTCTTTTGGGTTACTGCCAGGAATGTGTGTCCAACTAGGCTCAGGGGGCTGGAGCTTTACCTGGCCCCTTTGGCTCCTCGGGGTTCCTGTTACAGTGGAGCCCCTCCGGAACGCCTACTAGTCCGCTCCCCTCTTGGGGTGTCTGTCCGTAGTATACGCCCCTCTTGGGGCTACTTCTCTATACGTGCCCTCTCTGGGGCTCCTCTCGAGTACCCGCCTGCTCCAGCGGCTTCTCTCTGCCTCTGCCGGTCTCTATAAATCACAGACTCTGTGCCACCCGGCGCCAGGCAACCATGCCGTCCCTGGCACCACTCGTTTGCCCACACAGGGCACCGGGAATCCCCAAACAACTGGGGAGCTCCCGTGAGGCCTCCTCACACCCCTACAGCCTCACCCGGTCCTCCGGTATAACAATATCAAACAAGGAACACTAAACCATGAGCCAACCGGCTACAGCACAACAATAAGCCTTCTGGCTATACCATAAAGTCCAGGCCCCACCTGGCTTTCCAGTACAACCTCCTAGTCAGGGTTCTTTCCATCCGTGCCATGGTGCAGCTACTCGTTCTATCAGTCTGCTCGCCTCCGCTCGGCTCCACTGCAGAGCTCTTGCTCCTCCGGCTGCCAGAAGGGAACTGCCCCCTAGGCTCCGGCCTGGGCTGTTTATAAGGGCCCGGCCCTGCCCCCTTCTGGTCACCTGACCAACATAGTTGCCCCAGCAACCATCAGCTGGGCTGCCCTGGTGATGGGCAGCTGTTCTTAACCCTTTTCTAGGCACAAGGCACCTACGTGACCTTGTGACACAGCCATAAATCTGCTTTCAAAAACATTAACTTCATTTTCAATCAAAAACAACCGGAACTGAAAACTGAACAGTAATTCAGTGATGGGTAAAATACAATCAGTTAGTATTTTATGCTTCTCTATACCACTTCTTCACTACTGGCACTGACCCTAGTTTGTTTTCATCACTTTCTCAAACTGCTGCAACCCATAGTTTGCACTCACCAACATTGCATCTCGGACAAAGAAGATGGGAGTGTTGTTTCCTACTAGATCCCAGTTCCCATCTTCTGTATAGAATTTCATTGCAAAGCCTCGAGGGTCACGAACTGTGTCTGCTGAACCTGATTCTCCAGCTAGAAGAAGCATTTTAATAACTTATATATAAATATCAAGAGAGAAATGCATGTTCCCACAAGTCTAGCATTAGGATAATCAGAAAGGCAGGAGACCACATTTACTACTTAAGTATTTTTAGGTATTTATTATTTACAACTTGATCCACAATGGACAATTTTAGTATATTTTCAGCACCATTTCAAGCATATTTGTACTTGATCGTGGACTGCTGGCACAAAGTAAACCCTCACACTGCAGCTCCATGGATAATTCTTACAGTACCAAATAACTAGCGTTATTAAAAGCCAATCCTTTAAAAGACCTGAACATCAGAACTGCTTTAAGTGTGGACAGGTTCTCCTCTGATCAACAGAATGAATTAACAGCTGTCAATTTTGCAGCAAGATCTGCATTCCTGTTTACTTATCCTCTTAGGACAGTCTATCCATAGAATCACTCTGGTCAGCAGAGGTGAAGCGGGGCGTGGGGAGAAGGACAACTGGAAATCTAGCTACAGGTCCATAAGCCTATGCTACCTGAATTTACCCAGGAGAGGAGTTGATCTAACTTATGCCAATAATACTAAGTCCCTAGAGAAGTTAGGCTAATGAAGAACTTGTAGTGTAGTGTAACTGGTAGTGCAGCTCTAATCCAACTCCTCTCTCCCTTGGGACATTCTCAACAGGTGGGTAGTACTGGTAACAGATGCAACAGAGGCAATAGTTGGCAAGACACTCCCTTCTCCACTGGTATTCCCTGCTGGAAACTGCATGGTGATGGATCACACTAATGAAGCTGTGATCTTGTCTTTACATCAACAGACTATAAACAAACTCTGAACTAGTCCTCTATCACTGCTGCTCAGGTAAACTGGAATAAAAATGGAAAATTATGATCTGTTACTAGAGACAAACAGTTAACACTAAGTCACAGAAGTGTTGATTTCAAAATGGTTTAGTTATCTAGCATAAAAGACATATAGTACTTCTCACAATGTATTCTCTGTAGTGGCCTCCTATTCAGACAACTGTAATAATCCATTTTATGATGATCAGCTATTCCCAAAAGCTCTTTGTATCTTATCAAACTGTACATAACCTATTTCTTAAAATGAAGAGCTGGTATAAAAAGCATGTGCGTCAGGTGACCAGAAGGAAGGAGGGAACAGAATGGTCATTACTATTCTAAGCCCAGACTCCGGACTCCCGGTGTGAGTGAGGATCGGATCCTGATCAAGGGACCTTCCCCAGTAATCCCTCCGACAGAGTGGTTCAGGGACGTCCGACTTCGCTGGGATTACTTGCCACGCACCTGGCATCGAGGGACAATCGATAAGTTGCCAACCCATGTCTGTCTGTCTGTCTGCTGTTTTGAACAGCCTAGTGGCTGATACCCTCGTAGTGCCCAGTTGACCTGTGACAGAACTGATTCATCTACCTGTTGTTATTATTTACCATTAGCTCTTTAATATTGCATTATCTGCTTATTGCATTTATCCTTCTGTTAACTGTTGTGTGTGTGTAAGCTATAATAAATTTGCCTTTGCTTCACTCCCAACTCTGCCTCCTTGATCCCGAACCAAACAGCTCAGTGCAGTTTGTACAGAGTTGCAGCACCCAATTGCAGCACCCAGTCAGCCTGCAACTAAACTGATACGCTCACAGTGCCCAGCTGGCCTGTGATACACATCAGGGTCTGGGGGAGCATCGGTTCATCAAGGCACCCCAGGGGAGACAAGTAATAATGGTCATCAATTGCTAGAGGATTGCTTTAGATGGGACACAAGGAAAAACTTCTTTATGGTTCAAGTGTCCAAGAGAAGGTTGAGAGGGGACGTGGTGGCCATCTATAAACTTACCAGGGGGGACCAGTGGGGAATGGGAGAGACCCTGTTCCCCCCCGAGCACCTCCTGGACAAGGAATAACGGCCATAAGTTATTTGAGAGTAGGTTCAGGCTGGACATTAGAAGGCACTACTTCACAGTCAGGGTGCCTAGGATCTGGAACCAACTTCCAAGAGAAGTCGTGCTGGCTCCTACCTTGGGGGTCTTTAAGAGGAGGCTTGATAATTACCTAGCTGGGGTCATATGAGCCCAGTATTCTCTCCTGCCCAGGGCAGGTGTTAGGACTTGATGATCTACCTAGGTCCCTTCCGACCCTACATCTATGAACAGAACTGAGTTTTCCAGGGAAGACCACGCTTCATTTCATACTTCCACATCTGAGAAAAAAAATATCTATAGTAGGCTGCAGTTCAGGTAAGTGGTAGCTGCTAAACATTACTCAGGGTTTTAAAATTTTAAAGGAATGAAAAAGATCAGAGAGATTACTCAGCAGAGGACAAAGTCAAAAGTACATAATAAATTTGTCATATGGTTCTACAATTTATTAAATGGAGATCAGATATTCAAAAACACACTAATTACACAGTCTTACCAACAGTAGAGAATCGAATAGCAAGTGGAGTTCTTTTTCCAATGTGCTCAAACACCTTCGCCTTACAATATTTGGTAATATCATGAGTCACCTCAAAATAGCCAAAGGCACCTGTGGGAGACAAAAAAAAAAAGCTTTTATACATGACTGGATGAACAGTGTTGAATGAACAAAGGGATCAAATGCCTTTGCCAATATCAAATGCCACTGCCAAAGTGGGAGCTGAAGAAAGAGAGCTGAGGAAAAGGCTAATTCTAGCAGCTGAAAAAAAATTTTATGATCTCCTTTTCTACCTTGAGTCACCACTAGCATGTCTTCACCTCAGCCTTTGGCCACTAGATACTCAACTTCTTTTGCAGTATTCCTTCACTCTACCACTCCAACTTATGATGTGATTTTTTTTTTCCCCATTTCAACTGGGCTAGGTTCTTGTACTACACTTTCTAATTAGATTACTGCACAATCTTCAAAAAAACATTGGTTTCTAAAGCTAGGATGCAATGTAGATATGGCATACCCCTAACTTAATGTACCTTTGTCTACAGGAGTTCACTGGAGCATGACAGTGCCCAAGGGAAGGGAAAAAACTCATGCACATTGAGGACCCCATGCTACTGTGAGCAATAGATTTCTAAGAATTTATCCCAAGACCACGACTGGTCACCACAGGGCTATCAAGAATCCTTAATACTTAAAATGAGCTGGAACATAATATCTCAAGTTGGTTTAGTATGCAACAGGATTGATATGTTATGGGTACTGTTTGGATATGTGGCATTTTCTAATGTACTTTTTGAATATGTGACCCAATTTGAACATGGCATTTTAGTTTTATATTTGCTATTTGTATGCTTTCTGACAAAGACGATTAATACATTTGTATAGTGCTTTGCAGCTTGCGTAGATCTTTGACAACTTTGCAGGTCTGACAGGAAATGGCTGATGGGAAAGGTAGGGAAAATATTCCAAAGCATACGTAGATAGCTGGAACATAGATGCATAAATGTATCAAGGCCCGCTTGAAACACTAATGTGATAGATGTGATCTTTTCTTCAGGATGTGGGACATGTTGAGTAGTAAGCTAAGTATGGTTAAAGTTTCACTTTTCTTGCTTCTCCTCCCTATTTCTTAACTGGAATTAAGTTAAGTCCTCTATTCAAGAGTGGTATGTACTTTCACCATGGGAAGGGCAAAGCCTTGATTTACAAAGAAACATAGCCTGTAGCTATCTCAGTTTCAGTAATACCGCATGCTTATTTAGTAAGCTCATGTCTTCATATTTTTTACGAAGCAAGGAAAAAGAATGATTGAAACTAGGAAGCACTGCCGAAAGCAAAAACACTTCAAAGGAAATTTCTTTTTAAGAGGTCTTAATTACAAACCCATGATTAATCTGACTTGGTGGAGTTTTTCTTGGGGTTTAAATGATGTTTCTGTTTTTCTTTATGCTATGTAGTCCATCTAACACTTTTTTTTTTTTTTTTACTTACCGATTTATGAAGAGCAGGGATTATAAATTAAAGTGGTTTTATTATTAAATGCTTTCTATATAATACACTGCAGCTGTAAGTAATATCAGGTAGTTGGCAACTATGTTCCCAAGGAGACAGACAGCTGTGTGAGTAAATGGTGTAAAAATAATGAATGTAAGTTAAGTTTAATTTTTCCCCAGTTATGACAAACTTGCACATCTACTCATGGGACACAAGCTAGCAAAAATTCAGTGAAGGTTTTGGTCTACAAAGCTCAAAAGAGCTTCATTAAAAATACCCTAGAGATCCACATTTTAATTGTCATGTCATAATGCAACAGACAAAAATTCAAATACTCCAACATCAAATGCATACCTTCCAATAAATCAAGATGTTAAATGTATTTGATTTTAAATAGAACTTAATCATATAAGATGCACTTTATCCAGTATGGTTACAGAATAGCCTACATTATTTTTAAAACGTGGCATTTGATATTTTATTACATGTAGCAAATATAATAAAGCAATTTTTATTTTTTTCCTGTCAGTAGCTAAATATTCCCAGCAACACTACAGGACCTTCTAACTTGCACAGGAGCTTCTTTGGATGCCCTTCCCAAGCTTTCACCTATTTCTCTTTTTCCACCTGACTGACTAAACACTTGTCCATTTAAAAATAGACCTAACTGCTTGGTACAAATAGAGCACCTTTCACCCTTCTTCATGATGCAATAGATAGTTTACCTGTCTGTCAAGTGGGAAGAATAATGTTGTTTTCATTTCCCCCTAGACTGGGGATTCTCTCTCACACCCTATAAAAAAGTTTTGACCCAACTCCAATTACTACTGTGCCTGTCTGCCTCTAGATGGAGGTCTAATCTATCAAGGTACAAAAGAACTGCAGACTCTTACAGGCATGCTATACAAAGCATGAGGGTCCATCCTGAATTGACAAAAGACAGATCTCTTCCTATATGTAAGGTATAAAAATAACTACAGAAATATAGATGATTGAGTTTTTCCTCTGAAGTATATATCATGGAATAAAGTATTTAAAATATTAATCAAGTTGTGTATATAAACTATATTTCCTCTGGAACTTTTTTTAAATTGATGGTTACTTATCCTGAGGGCTGCTCTACATGACACAAACTACAAGGTTATATTATCAGATTTATAAGGTAGATAGAATCTAACTCACCGTTCATATCTGTAATGAAATTATGTCAAAACAAAACTGAGTGTCATCAACACTTCAAGTTTTACATATGTGACTAGGAATATTTCTCTCAAAATTTTCTACCACATTTCCGTAACTTTTGCTCTTAAAGATGGGAGAAGAAGAGATGAAGCTCAAACTTGTCACCATTTGCTTCCAGGGATTCTTCATTACAGACTTAAGTAATTTGTTTTCTTTAGTTGATTAATACAAATAAAGAACAAAAAGTGTGTGTTAAACCCACCTGCTCCTTTTGCATGCACAACTCTTTCAGGAATCCTTTCTCTGTCGAAATGAGCCATCTCATCAGTGAAAACCACATCTTGAACCAGAAGAGGTCCCCTTGGTCCTGCTGTCATGAGGTTAAGTTTATCCCCTACTGGGATCCCAGCACCAGTAGTCAAAGCATCTGGCTTCTAAATGAAAACAAAAAAAAAACCCTTTCAACTTCTGGTGATGGAGATAGACTCTTCTAAGCCTTAAGCAGTTAACCAAATAATATGATTCAGTATATAATAAAAGATATGCCAGATTAATCAGAGACGTCTAGAGTAACATGCCTCCTGAACCTGAAGCAACTGTATCAGAATGGATTACTTCATCAGAAAGGTTATTGTGGAGGGGGGGAGAATGACCAACTTTCAAAATGTGTGCTAATATTTAAGACTAACAGTAGTATTTTAAACAGGGTGAATTTTACTTAAATCACAATTGAATCACTGTTTTCTACAAAAAAGTGCATTCTTGTTGTTTGATATCTTTCATTCATTTAACTTCTTGAAACTGCACTTTCAGAGAAGGGTAAGGACTTGACTGTATACACAAACTTGCAGAGAGACCATACGGCTGATGGGTAGGTAAATCAGGTCTGTTATCACTCATCTTTATACACTGCTGTTAACAAGGATGTTATCTCTGGAGAGACAAATCAACAGTTTGAGAACTAAAATGAAACTTCACAGAGATACTTAATGGGATCTTGTAGACCTACGGTCTCTAACCTTTTTAAGTCAGAGATCACATCTGGAATTAAAAAGGATCCTGAGATCTAACCTGTGCCGCCACCCCTGCCCAGCAGGTAAGTGTGTGGGAAGGGGGCAGATAGAGGCAGAGGGATAAAAAATTATTTGGGGGCAAGCCTACCCAGCAGGTAATTCTGTGGGAGAAGGGGTCGTGTAGCCCCTCCAACCCCGCCTTCCAGCACCACCGCAGCCCCAGTACAACCCCCGCTTCTGTCGGGAACAGCCCAGCCCCAGCCAGCAACTGCAGTCCACCCCACCCAACACCGGGGGTACGTGCCCCCCCATACCCTCCCAGGGTGTGTGCCCCCCTGAGAAGCCACTCACATCTCTGTCCCGCCCTGACCCCCCTCACCACTGCTGCAGCTACCCACACTGCCCTACGTTTGAGGGGACACATGCCCCCTGATCTGTGTCCGGCAGAGGCGGTTCCCACTGTGGCTAATAATCTCTATCTTTGAGCTTTACCATATCTTAAATTAAAACTATTTTATACAGGTTTACTTTTTCAAAGAAAAGCATCCTAATAAAAAAAATAAAAAACAATTTCAATAAAAAGTCCGGGTTTTGTTTTTGGGGGTTTTTTTTAATATAGACTGCACTTAGTAACTGAAAGCTCTAGCATTCAGAGGCAGGTAAATTATTACGCTCTCTCAACTGCCTAATGTCTTCCAACTTGGAACTACCTACAGTCTATTTTGCTTAAATGCTTTGCTGTAGACCTCCGGTTCTCAAAAAAGGTTTTCTGGCACACTTGGAAGCACTGCAACACAGGCACTGGTCTCATGACAGAAGTGGCCAGTTATCTGCCCCATGCAAACTCCTCCTGCAGTAGCGCACTAATAACCAATGCAGGCAGGAGATGGCTAGTACTGTAGCTCTATCCAGCCTGTCCCCCACCCCCGTGACTGGGAAGGGCTACACAACACAGACAGCCCCCACCTGCTTTAGGCTGATCAGAGCCCTAATGCAACAACACCATGCGCACATGCTACAACTCTTCCTGAGCTGGCTTGCACTAGGTGCATGCGGCACTTTTACCAGGGGGCAGAAGCCAGCTGAAAAGCACTGAGGCAAGCTGAGAAAGCACCAACAACAGCAGTGGATGCCTTTGGGGATCACAGGGCATGCCACCCCATTCAAAACTGGTGAAGGCATGCTCTGACACTGAAAAGGTTGAAAACCATTGCTTTAGACTTAAAATCCAGGGATTTTCCTGGAGCATACCTGAACTCAATGTAAATAATGCTCATTAAGTCCACAGTGCTCCTAGTTTTATGGTATTAGCAGTACTGAAACTCAGTAGTTCCTCACTTTCAAATTTCAGAGCTGCTTTTGAAAACAAGTAGACAGAACAGCTACAAAACTAACTAGCTCCTGTCATTCTCTAAGGTTTCTAGTAGCAGCCCTTTGACAGCTTCTGTCTCTTCGCTGTTTCTGGTGCAGTTAAATGGAGTATGTTTGTTGCAAAGCAGACATCTATAGTTAATATGAAGTTTTAAAGTCTTTTGAGTAAATATTTTTTTCCGAGTCATAGAATCAATGAGTTAGAAGGGACCTAGACAGATCTTCAAGTCCAACCCCCTGCCATGGGAAAGTATGAGCACTGGGGGTGGGAGGGGTCATAAGACCCCACCCAGGTGCCTATCCAGTCTCCTCTTGAAGATTTCCAGGGAAGGTGAGAGCACCACCTCTCTGGGAAGCCTATTCCAGGCTCTGGGCCACCCTCACAGTAAAGTAGTTCTTCCTAATATCCAACCTAAACCTATTCTCCCTCAGCTTGTGGCCACTGACTCCAAGGAGGGCCCTGCTGAACAGACTTTCCCCGAGTCCCTGCTGGTGGCCCCCAATAAGGTTGTAGGCAGCCACAAGATCCCCCCTCAGTCTCCTCTTGCAGAGACTGAAGAGATTCAGGTCTCTTGGCCTCTCCTCATAGGGCTGGCCATGGAGGCCCTCAACCATACAAGTGGCCTCCTCTGGACCCTCTCCAGGTTCTCCAC